ATGATCATTACTTACTGTACTAAGAAAACTAGTGAAATCAGTGGAGGTTATTCACTATTTGTATTCAATTCAAAAAATATATACCGTAAAAACTTACTCAGAACTCTGGTACACTTCTGTTTGTCTTTTAAAAAATACTCCTATATTTATTATGAGATTAAATAAATAATTAAAAATGACATGATAAGAATTTTCACAAATTTAGTGTTTTAATTAACGAGAGTGTAAATGTGTTATGGTTCCATCAGAATGTAAATGTTTTGTAAGTGGTTATGGTCGACTGGTCATGTTGAATTATTTGTTTGCGAAGTAATCCTCATTAATTTAACGAATCGAGTTATCAGCATTTTCACATTAGTACTTCACAAATTATGTTACTGTAAACTCTAAATATGGTGGGTATAAATCAGTTTACGGTATGTGTTGGAGGAACTGTATCATATGTTGGAAATCCTTCTTAATAAAATATTGCGTTTATTATTTTTTTAAATGACGTATATTCCAATAACATTCTACTTACTTCTGTGATTCTTAGTAGTTGTAAGATATGAAAAAATACTTAGTGAGGATATTAGTATTTCTATTTAAATCACTTTCCGCTTAGTATTTTATTTACTATGATGTTCTGCCTATCCACATTTTTTAATACTGACAAAAAGGCGCTTTGATTATGTTAGTATACGGTTAGCAATAAAAGATTGGGGTCTAACAATAATTGATTGATGATTTCAATGTGTAAGAACACAAATCTCCATAACTCTTATTGAAAATATCGTAAAATATGCTCACTAACGATTAGCTTCGTGAGGAAATTCTCGGAGTTCTAGTTAGAAGCCGTAACCAGTGTAGTTCAAACCTGTCGGGTGTAGGCAGTAACTGCCAAAGACAAATGGGTGAGGTCGCATAAAATCCCTGGATCAATCAGAGTTAGACAACAACACAGTTGGAAGCCGGCCCAGTGGTCCAGAGGTTAGGCGTTCGCGCACAATTCCAAAGGTCCCGGGTTCGAATCTTGCGAGGTTCAGGAGTTGTAGACGCGCACTGTTGATGAGTCCTACACCACGACGAAACGGCCGTCCGGTGCTTTGAGGTTTCTAATGGTGGTCTAACAATAACTGATTGATGAGTTCAATGTGAAAAGAAAGTTATCCATGGAAAATTTCCATTAAATATTCATTTTCCTACATAACAGCGGAGACAATAGTTAGTAGTAGTAAAATAAAATTCATTCAAAGTTAAACAATATCAAGATTCATAAATTTACTTCTCATTTTCCAGTAATATAATACAAACTAAAATAAGTGGTTGGTAAATCGTCTACATTTTTAATTAAATGACTTTCAGCTCCAAGACATAATTAAATGAAACCAATTTACATTTATTTTGTTTAATCATATCATCTTGATAGAAGTTCACACTTTGAATATCTAATCAATTAAAACGCACCGTATGGAAAATGGTAAGAAAATTATTTCAAGTAATCTACTTGATGTAATTAATCTAATTAATCTAATTTACGGATTACAATAACAAATATAAGTTATGACTTAGATATCTAGGAAAAAAATATTTTACAACTGGATAATATTCTTGATCAGTAAAGGCATTCATTAGTTTTGTTTTGTAGATTTTTTTAAATAATTAGATAAGTAAATACTTAACTTCCAACAATCTATACAATTTTTCTTATTACAAGTTGAATAATTTGACCAATAAGTTTGTTGAGCTTGAAGAAAAAAGTTGATCTCCATATTTTATATTTGATCCGTCTCGAACATACCGATTGACCTTAACATTCGCATATGAAAATGATAAGAAACATTCAATCTGATCATGAATATGAAATTCCTATTAGAATAATATCAAGATTACAAAGTTGAGGATCAAGAAGAATGTGCCTGAAATGAAGACCTTTTAAAGTAATGTATTTAAACCAACAAGAAATAAAAACATCACTTCACATGGTTGCTAAACAGATCAATATTTCATTAATATATCAAATAACCTTTTTTGTTTAATTATAATATGCTTACAGAAATAACATTATTGACATTTATAGTGAAAGGATTTGATGTATAAGTAATCTACAAGCCTGTCAGACAAGTGTATAAACATTTCCAAATAGACTATTTTATTTGCTACATATCACACCATAAAACGATAAGATATTTCAACTCATTTGTTTGTTTAAAAGAATAAAACAGAAAAACTCGATTTTGATCGTATCAATAAATCTTGTGTATAATTAGCAGCATGTAGATAAAAAAAAATCAATCAATATTAAAAAAATATAATAAATAAAACAAAATCGAAAATTTTAATTTTCGTGTTCGGCAATTCAATAAATCAATGGCCATAATTATAAAATCAATGAACTAACTGTCCATAAATGGTATATAAATCTATAAAAAAAAAAATCGAAGAATATCTTAAAGTATAAATTAGAAAATATAACTGAAAGATCGTTTTTGAAAACTAAACACAGCATAAACGATAAATGAATCCTAATGACTAGCTACAAATATCACGACTATGAAATTGTTTTCTTCAGTCAAGTTAACAAAAAAACTTATATACTCAACCAACATTTGAACGATTGACAAATTTACAAATACAACGCTAAGTGGCTGTCAGTAATTTCAGAGTTTGAAAATATATTCTTTGAATGAAGCATAAATCTTTAACAATTGTTCACTATGTGAGTTGGTAGGTTTGTTGATATATTGTATTTATTTCTTGATTGAAAACAACTTCCCTAATCTTTTGTAACGGGTAAGTCTGCGAAACATCCGGTAAGGACTTTAATTTACAAACTTTTATAATTGAGAATTATATGATAATGACTATAAACAGTGTACTTCACTTAAATTATTTAGGCTTTAATAATTTTTTTTTGCAACATCACTGATAAAACATACTAATAATTGTAACATTTGAAGTGTGTGGATTAGTGATTCATAGCTTAAACCATCAAAAACAGAATGGATTTTAAGGACCCTTTCAATCTAAAACCAAACATTCGTTGTTTTCGGTTTATGCACAAATAGCGATATCATTAAGTCTTGATAGAATTGTGGTGAAAATATACTGCATTTTTTCATTATCTTACAAAACTTTTGTTATCCTTGTTATATTATCTGAATAAAGTTTGGTAAACTTCGTTCGTAATCATCGTTATTGTAATAATTGGTCTTTACTGTCAAGTTCCATTTTAGTCGTTAAATAGTTCTGGATTCAGTTTCAAATGTGTTTTTTCCATTAATATTTCTAACCTGTAAGTTGTTGGCATAAAAGGTTTTTATTATACTCAAATAATCATTTATATAGATACAGTGTTTACAGTAATTTTAGGATATGAAACTGTTATGAAGAGAGTAAGTTATTTAGTTTTTTTCTGTTAAGACATGATAGTTTTTTCTTTGGCAGATGGCCTGAGTGACATTTTTCTAAATCATATTTCCATAGCGACACTCACTTATTGATTGTTATACGATTTAGTTTGCTAAGTTTATTGCTCGCCAAAGTCTATGAATGTTACTACAAAAATTGAGTTGTTTCTCCTCAAACATAACTTCTATTAGAAATATGTGGTCATCATGAAGGTCTTGCTTCTTTTTATTAGGAATTGGGTTATTAGAGTTCAGGTGTTATTATATGATAAACTTTAGGTCTATTCAAATTATAATTTTTCGAGTTAAATTGGAAGAAGCTTCAATCGTTCGTAGATAGAATTTTTCGCTGGTCAATTTGAAAACTCAGTATATTAAACTTTTTGGTTAATTTACAATTAATATATGATTTTAGTATTCTGATTTCAGTTTCCTTTCAATAATTCACTCCATCAATTACTGATGCCTAGTGATAGGAAAGAAGTTTGTTTAAAGACGATAGTCTTCAGAGTAACAGGTAAAGACTATCTGTCAAGTGTTTAGAACACTTCTAAACAGCTTTCTTACCAGGCTGATTGGGGGCTGCGGTTTAATGTCACCTTAATTCTTCTATTGAAACACTTCGTTGTATAGATCGTCATTTCTTCTACATCAGATATGAATTATTCAGACAATAATCACTCCATTCATTTGTGCATTCTGTGCTTAAAATAAACATTCTGATTTATTGGTTTACTCACTTACTTATGCCTGTTGATTCTCTTGAAGCATGGGCTACTAACCAGGATTCCCCAAACACCTGTATCCTAGATTCGCCTTTCCAGTTGTTCCAAAGTTGTATTCATTCTTTTGATGTCTGCCTCCGATTTCAGGTGAAATGTGTTTACTCAGTTATACAAATTGTTTGCCTGATAAAGTTTATCTTAGCAGCTTAAGAACAGTTTTCTTGCTTTAAGAACTGATTGTTTTTGAGCTATTTTACAAAAACTCTACGTTGAGTAATATTTTACCCTTAAAAGATATTTCCAACAGTTGTTTATTATAGGCTAAAAACAATAGTTCAAAGTATCTTCGTTAAATAAAAAACACATGAATATTTAATTAAGAAATAATATTAGTCTAAATTAATTTTTAGAATAATTTCTACAACAGATCACGCGATTAATAAATTTATTTTCCTCTTCATCATAAATACAAATCTGTCAAGTTTCGAAACATCAGAATAGTTATCAATAAAAACAAATCATCAGCAAGAATGAAGCATAACAACATGTTTTCATAATAATTTTTAGTCAGACCAGTATTTGATGTAATTATGATGAAAATATCCAAGTAGGAGAAATATTTACCATATGAGATTTTATTAATAATTAGTTAACAAACAACATTTAAAAAATAATCATTTTTAGCGAATTACTTAGTTTTAAATAATCGAGCGTAAACCATCGATAACAATCAGTGGTATGTATTATCCTTCATTTGCAAAACTTTAAAAAATAAATCAAATCACAGGCCTATTTTAAAATCTTAGGAAATATCACGTGAAGACAACTACGTATTACAGATAAATGTCAAGTATATAAAAGTATTATTTTAGATAAATTAAAAAAAATGTCTGATGAATTTGAAAATATTGAGAAAAGATATTTAAAATTTTATTCAAAGTTTGAAATTCAGTTTGAGTAAATATATTTACCATAATACATCCATTGATTTGATTTCTTTTATCATTCTCTTGATCAAAAGAAAAAGTTATTGATGGATTTCGAGCAGATCTCTGATTAAACTATTGTTAAACTAAATAATGCACTTTTCATTGTTCATCTGAAAATGAAATTGATAAAAATCCAAACTTTCAATAACATCTGGTTTAATGAAGAAAAATTCTAATTTATCAATTAGCAATCTGCTTTACAAAGCACTAGGGCTGAATGTAATACAATACCGTCTTGAAAACTAATTAACTTGGGTTATCTGCAAAGTAGGATGTCAATTATAAAACGAAGAATGGAGTTGTATCACTTTAAGTCGAACCCTCAATACTTGTATTCAAATAAAACAATCAATGTCTTAAAATTGTCCTTGTTTTAATTAAAAGGATAGAATATAAGCCAATTTTGATTGCCACACTCCAGAATATGTTCATCTAGTATTATAGCATTATCTCATATAAATTATTAAGAATTCGAAAGAAAATGAAAGTTGTAGTGAAATTACTGAAGACAGAAAAGGTCGATTTATTGATGATAAAATTAATGTGTTTATGCTTTGTGATCAAAGTAATGTAAGGATATATTCCATCTAACTGATTCCATTCAAAAAGGTGAGAGATACCTGAAGGCGTTCCATGTTCTAGTCAGAAGTTTAGATTATTCAAATATTTGATCATTTAAATATACAAAACGGAGAGAGTAGTAATATTAGCTAGCCATTTAAACTATCGATAATGTTGATTTGTTCTAAGGTAATCAACTGGGATCACAAATATCATATTATAGATGTTCCCAAAAGTGCTACTACGCATTGACTAATGAACTTAAATAGCATGAAAGCAAAAAGCTTTAGAAAATATAAAACATTTGTCAGATAGAAATTACTGAATGTCCGAATTTCCGATTTTTTTTAAAGTGTTCATATTTTCACTATTTAATTATTTGGTTAATTTCTAGATGGCGTCATCACTACTACATTATACAATAAATGAAATGGCGACATGCAGAAAACTTTTATTCAACAATATATCTTATGAGTAGGCTTGTATTATTATATAAATATTAAATAGAAAACTTCTAATTAGCTAGGATATTTTTAAACATTACGGTGAATTATGTGTGAATGCAGAGATTTTAAATTCAGTAAATTAAGTGGTAATGATCATTATCATTAATAAAATAATAATCAACATGTTTAATATTTATATTCCGCTATACCATCTTTCACAAATCTATTTTTTCACTTGCATAGTTAGATGCATTTGTCTATGTGTTTTCGTGACCGCAGAAGAACCTAAGGAAACATTGTCATGATTAATTTTAGCAAAATTAATTAATTAATATACACATGAATAATAATGATTAATCATATTTTGAACAGTTAATCTACTTATTAAATTTAGATAGTATAATCAGAAGTCGAAGAATAACAGAACGTACACTTGTTAAAAACATTCGTAAATCAAAAAGAATATAAAGTCAACTAAACCACTGGAAATTAATTGGAAATAAAGGTAGTGAAGAAACTAATAGGGAGAATAAAATAAAGCACAACGTTGGATAGTTAAACAGTGTTACTAAAATCATGAATCAATCATTCTTTGACCACCGTCGTAAACCCGTAAGCACTGGAGGGCCATTTCATTCTGGTTTGGGACTCACCAGCGGTACGCATTCATGGCTCATCCCAGGACCTTCGGTTTTTGGTAATTACTGCCTGCACCCAACAAGGTTGAACTCTACTGGTTACGTCTTCGCAACAGAACTTCAAAAATTTCCCCACGAAGTTAGTCACTAGTGAGCATGTTGCACGAATTTTCACCATAGAATTATAGAGATTGTTGTTTATTACTGAATTCACGAATCAATCATTCTTGGACCACCGTTAGAAATCTGGAGGCACTGGAGGTGGTTTGCAGGATGAGAACAGACTGTTATTCAATACATAAAGTGGGTTATAATCCATGGAACTTTGATTATTGTTGCTTTCTTAATACACAGCCCAGGTTAATTATATTTTTAGAAAACCTCAATGAAATATTATTGCATATAATCGATGGAAAAAAAACATTTTGTCATAGTAAATGATAAATCACTAGAATCGTTAAACGGATGAAGAAGATAAAGTTATATATATATATATTTCAGGAACAACTAGAAAGACAGTTTAGCGACCATCCGGAGGAGTGAAGTAGTCAAGCGTGTAGACCGCTTCACTTATCTGGGGAGTCTCACCTGTGCTGATGGCCTGGTGACTGACGAAATCTTATTGGCTTTCGCCAAACTGCATCACTTTTGGCGTAGGCGAGATATCATTTTGCTGACTAAAGGACGAGTGTACTGTGCAGCAGTTCGCTCCATCCTACTATACGGATGCGAAACATGGCCGTTAAGAGTAGAGGACATTCGTAGGTTCCTAGTCTTCGATCATCGGTGTCTCCGAAGCATTGCTCGTGTATCCTGAGATAGCCGAGTAAGCAATACTGACATTAGGAAGTGAGTTCTACGTGAAGATGGCAAATCAATAGATGAAGCATTGAAACTTCACCAGTGGAGGTGGTTGGGACATGTGTTACATATGCCTAACCACTGAATGCAGCGATTAGCTATGTTTTGCATTGTAGGAGTAGATTGGAAGAAAGTTAGGGGCGGCCAAACCAAAATATGGCAGAAATACATGAAGTCAGTGACAAGTGGACTGAATCATGTTAGTAGATGTAGGCTACGTGGTTGGGGTCCTCGAGACAAAATTCACCAATGATTAGAGACCATGAACGACATGACTCAGAATCGTTTGCATTGGCGCAGGTGCATCCACTCTTTGTGTTCTTTCAAATCGTAACCTTCTGAATCCCTCATAATCTCTATCTTTCTCCTCCTAAATTTATCCTACTGAATGATACTTCTCGAATCATATCTTCGCTCCCTAATCTTCTCCATTACTGCTAATACTTCTATGATTGCTATCACTCTTGGAATTGAACTGACAGTTGCGTCTTTGTGCTGATGGGGCATGGCAACCTGAACTGATGTACTTACGTACGAAGTTCTGCGTTGTATTTGTCTGTCTGTCTGTCTGTCTGTCTATTCATGTATGACTGATTCAAAATACAATTTTAAATATTATTATTGTATTACTGTTTACAAATCTAAGTTGATATGTTTATGACCAGATTTAAAATGTTTGGAAAAAAATTTAATTCAAATTTTGATATGTCACTGTTTGTAGAAGCTGAAAGTCAAAACGACTCGTAATTGTATCATAAATAATTTGCACACAATCTCATTTTGATCTTATTACCTTCCGGTGCTTGTAACTTTTCAAGTACTGTAACAGAATTATTATTTTTTTTCCAGTGGTTTCTAGACAGTAATATTGTTAGCTAGATTTTTCACGCTAATTAGGATTTCAATGTCTCTAATTTAATTTATTTTTTTGGCATAATTGATCTTAGGCATATGACGTTCCTTTTTTTTGTTGTCTACAATTGAAAAGACAGACAAACCTGTGTGCACAAAGTTGCATAATCAAGTGGAAGAGTGACGTTTTGAAAGCCGATGTTAGAGAATTGCTAGTTCAGTAATAATAATAATGTATTTATCTATTCTTTTGGTTGAATTCATTATCTTTCATAATAAAATCTGTCAAGAATTGACATCATTTGCTTATTAGAAAAAAGTTGCAGTTTTATTAAAAATGACATCATTGGCTGTTAACAATGAACATAAAATCATTTATAATAGAATGACATAATCATAACAATTAAAATACTCAAGGATATGCAGTCAAATAAATCAAAATTTTTATGAATCTCTAATCAATCAACTTTATTTGATAAAATTAGTCTACCGATTTTAACCTTTTTATTAGTCGAAAAAGAAAATGCAGAATTTTCGTTTCACAATGCCTTTATGAAGTCTGTTTTGGCAAGTAAATGTTCTACAACACTAATGCCTACAACGAGTTAAATATCATACGTATTTTGCACAGTAGTCGTTTTCCTATTCATGAGGACTATCAGGTCCGTTTTACTTACGAATATCCTAAATTTTTACTAATCTGTTTTATTTCAGTTTCGAGCAATGTCTTGAAATTAAACTTTGATTTTATTTACAGAACTAGGTTTTATTGAAGATTAATAAATTTCCAGGGTTAATAATCATGACTTTCAAAATAGAAACAAGACCGTCAAAAGATCAGTTCAAATGTCTAGAGAATCAACAACATTTACTGAAAATCAATTTAAATAAGTGTGGACTATCTGTGTTCGATGGCATTATTCACCAAAATATAAAACATATTTATGCACACCTACTGACAGTTATCGGCAAATATATCATTTATTGGCACTGGTTATTGTGATCAAAGCGGCTTGTTCGAATATCTGGGTTACCTGTTCCTCCTACCATCTGAATAGTTGAACAAGGTATCTTTGTCTTCACACACTAAGTACGTCCAATAATCGCACAACATATTCAGATGTAGTTATAAATAGTTTATTAACTATGGCTTTAAAATGTACACAAATGCATAATCTTTATTGGCCTCGGATCTGATTCCAGTTTGTACGGACAATGGATTATGCAATGAAATAAATCTTTCATCTAAGTTACACATTCTTTGGCGAACCCCGTTTGTGCGATGCAGGCAATAAAAAGCCCAATACAGATAATGTTGAGTGAATTTGTTTCATACATTCGCGTAAGCTGACAGATTATAAAGTGAATCGTAAAGGTGAAGAAAAGCGAAGCAAAGTGAAGCGGAGAAGGCAAAAGGGTCAACTCCATTGATTAGTGAAGGACTAATCATTTATGGTCAGACAGAAATAAACTAGACATATGAAAGCGAAGTAAGCAACGTGTGCGCGCACACACACACACACGGAGAAAAGCAACCAAGGTAATTGGGAAATAATTGACAAGGTCAAAAGTTGTGTGAATAATGACTGGAAAAATCTGTATTAGTCGGTCTGCCCGAAAGCTAGAACAAGCAAGGTAGGCTCGACAGTTTATACATACCAAAGGCAGTTACATTTACGTGGCTGAAAATATACATTTAAAAGAATGACCGTTGATCGAATACTGATTCCTGAACTGCTGACTTCCAACTGTCAATCACTAGTTGACAAGTTGAACTATCTCCGGTTCTTACTAAGTTTGAACGTGTATTACAGTTGTAGTGTAATCAGAATCTTAGTTGAATGATTTGAACGCCGATTGTTTGGTATTATTACATTTTTCCAATATGTATCGTCAGAATCGATAAATATGAACTGGTCTCAAACTAATTTTATGTTTTAAGTTTTCAATCAATGTTTTCTACTATTTAACCTTAAGTTGACGTCCACGACACTTTAAGTTCAATTGTATGTGTTACCAAAATTTACGTGGCTCCAAACTGCACCTCATCTGAACTATCTGTTTTCGTTGATAAATTCTTCAAATTTGCTGATTCAACTTTCAATTTTTCCCTGTCAACAGTGTGTAGTGATTTTAGTTTATGTAAGTGTAGCTTTGTTTCCATCACCAAATTAGTACAACAAAGTGTATTTTCCCGCTCGCTCAGGTGTGCATTAGGATCATCATCATCATCATCATCATCATCATCATCATCATCATCATCATCATCATCATCATCATCATCATCATCATCATCATCATCATCATCATCATCATCATCATCATCATCATCATCATCATCATCATCATCATCATCATCATCATCATCATCATCATCATCATCATCATCATCATCATCATCATCATCATCATCATCATCATCATCATCATCATCATCATCATCATCATCATCATCATCATCATCATCATCATCATCATCATCATCATCATCATCATCATCATCATCATCATCATCATCATCATCATCATCATCATCATCATCATCATCATCATCATCATCATCATCATCATCATCATCATCATCATCATCATCATCATCATCATCATCATCATCATCATCATCATCATCATCATCATCATCATCATCATCATCATCATCATCATCATCATCATCATCATCATCATCATCATCATCATCATCATCATCATCATCATCATCATCATCATCATCATCATCATCATCATCATCATCATCATCATCATCATCATCATCATCATCATCATCATCATCATCATCATCATCATCATCATCATCATCATCATCATCATCATCATCATCATCATCATCATCATCATCATCATCATCATCATCATCATCATCATCATCATCATCATCATCATCTTCATCATCATCATCATCATCATCATCATCATCATCATCATCATCATCATCATCATCATCATCATCATCATCATCATCATCATCATCATCATCATCATCATCATCATCATCATCATCATCATCATCATCATCATCATCATCATCATCATCATCATCATCATCATCATCATCATCATCATCATCATCATCATATCTGTGCTCCAATGCTTATTTCTGGTCATTTATACTTTGCCTAAAGTATATTTGTAAGTCTCTTACATCAGACAAGGAAAGTTAAATATAGGAATCATCTAAGGTCCTTAAAGCATGTTTCGTAGAACTTATGGCTTATTTACAAATAACTCACTGATAAACACTGTCAATGTTGTCACTTGTTATTTTAAATCATACTTTGATATTTGTCATCCCATCGAAACTGTTGTTATAAGTTTTGACAGACTAACATCACCAAAACTAAAATCATTACAGAGGGAAAAAGAAAGGATATATGAAGAGAAAAAACTCTACTGATTATCGAAAGCCGATGGGTCTTATTAAGGAAACAAATAAAAGCCTGAATTCAATGTTTGCACAGAAACACTTGTTTGGTGAGATCAGATGTGGAAACTATTTAAAGTGCTGACCTGTGGAAGATGCATTCGCAACGATATCCAGTGGAATGTTTGTAACTCAGATAAGTTTTTTGTACGTCAATTATCTGATGTTGTTCTTGTAATGTCCATAAAGGTGAAGCAGAGTTGAGTCTCATTCTTCACTAAAAATGATGTCAAAAAATATATCCAGTTACTTAACTAGTTCTAATATATAGTGCATTTGTGGACTGCACTTCTGGCTTTGACTCTATTCCAAGACCAATACTGATAAACAGAGTCATCATCAATAACTGGATAGCCTATTGGCTGTTTTCTGACGTCTCTGGAGAACAGTGTACTGATAATTCTACTGATAATTCCATAGTGTATTTAACACTTTAGATTGAATATAGTTGTTTGTAATAATGTGCCCATTGAGATGACAATAAACATAATGGCATTCAGTATGTGAGTTGTCTTTAAGTTTTGTGACACTCAAGCGAGTGTTGATTCGTTTCAAGTAACGGTATAACTTTTATACCTTTTTCCTTTTGAAGAGTCTGGAAAGTAAATATATATTTTTTGTTAGAATTGACACCTAAACAAATACTTAGGTGATTTGTAAGTGCTGACTATGTCCTCATGATATTAATATAATCTTGGTGTATCTGTGTTTCAGTTACCTTCAACTCTATATGGAAGAACAGTATATCACATTAAGTTAGTTTTATTCTTACAAACTAATTCATCATCAGTATTGCATGCAGTAACCAAATTAAAAATAACCTGTACCTCTAAAAGTTGAATTTTTATAGGTGGTTCTTGCTCAACATTTCATAATTTGACAAATTTCCGGTAAACATAACATTACCAACTTTGATGTGAGTTTATTTCATCTACGTTAGATATTATTTTTCATTTCAGATTAATGTCTGCAAACAGTATCCCAAATTTTTGAAATTTCTATTATGTTAACAAGTTTTAAGATGACAGAAATTTCTAGAAACATTATCTGTGAATTTTTTTTTTATCTAAAAATATGTGAACAATTTCACTATAATTCTTTCATTATACTACTAAACTTATCTATACGTGTTAGCTCAGAAAGCTACAGTTTCCGTCCATTTTTGAGTTTAGCCACGGTTAGAATTGTGTGATAACTATCTTGATTTTTCAAAGCGGTATCCTAGGAATAATGTTTACTGTTGCCATCATTCATCATGTTAGTGTTAGAAAAAATGTGGCATTGGTTTCAGTTTCAGTGATTTATTTGAATACTACTGAAAAAATCATTACTTGAAATAAAGGAAATTCTAATGCTTCTACTCCTATAAATTAAGGTATATCGAACTAAATCATTCATGTTTTTGTTTTAGTTCGAATTTGATTTGACAACATTATGTTCGACCGTTACCTAATAAAATATTGATTACAATTCTATGTTACCTCAATTAATATGTGAAATACTTTCTGAACAAGATATTAAGTGAAAGGAGACAGTGTAAGATAGTGAGGTATTTGTGTTATTAGTTCACTGTTTCAAGTACATATTTGTTCCCCATCCAGATATTTCTGAAATATAGTGAATATAATTTCTCCTTTCCATTTGAATTTATACAAACCCATAGAAAATAAAGCATCAGTACTGTCCAAGAATTGGACTTCGTACTTTGAAACCGTTAAAATGAATCGCCCACTGGTTCTTTAATATTCAATAACTAATCATTATATAACATTTTAATATTCTAAATGAAGCTAGAATTTCTGATAAAAAACATTGATTTTCATTACTTTTGATAAACTACAAGTATTCATTTTGATTAATTATATCTACAAATTATTATATTTCTCACTTATAACTATTTACATAAAATCAACTACTTGTGTTGATTCCAACAGGACGGTTATTTTAAAATTTATGCTGATTTCAGCGTTGAACAAAGTTGATAAACACCAACCGCTGTTAATCATCATTTTGTTAAGGTAAAACTTGAACCAATTTACTTTGGGTTCCTAAAGTTTTTTCCCACAGTGAAGTTTGCTTTTCACATTACCTGGCATTATACTTTGAATATTCTATCTCTTGATGATGTTTTGTTAGGAGATAATTTTTTTAACAGAATGAAATTGTTTTCTTTGAAAAGAATATTGTTTTTGTATACCAAATAGATATTAAACACGGAGGAATCATTGATAAAACTTAATGTTTTGCATTTTCTTGACGTACTGAAGAATGTTCTCATCAACATACTACTACGATTAAATTAAATTCTTAAGTAGTAGTAATAAAATACATGTAATAGAGAAAAAAAAGTGATGAAATAATTCCCAAGAGTTGACCTACGACTAGCTGATTGTTACCGTTCATAACACAGTAAATTTTAATAAATATAACTTGCTAATAAACATATTTGATGTCGGCGGGATCGACGAAAAAAACGGAGTAACTCACAAGGCTGTCAACTGTATATTTGTACAGAGTTAGGAAAGGACCAATTCGGTCTCGTGTGCTTTTATGTGTATGAAGGCGGTTGTCACTTCCCGGCTGCCCACACCGTGGAAGAGTGTTTCTTGAGGAACCTGAAAAATAAAGTTGATTGGCGTTGGTCTTAACGACCTGGGAGCGTGACCGCAGAGCCAAAGGGACAACTGCTTGAGGCCGGTCACTACGGCCTTTTTATGAAAGGTTTTTTGATTATTAGCTTATATCTCTGTGCTAACGTGGTATGGCAACTTGGGCCGTTGTACTTACGTGCAAAGTTCTACGTTGCTGTTAATGATGTTGATGATGTACAGAGTTATGAAATAAAAGGTAAAAAGACCAAAAACCAGACAAAAATGAAATAGTAAAAAGAAATTGAATGAAAAACCAAAAAAAGCTTATGTCATCACGTGCTCTGTGCATGTAAATTTAGTGATGAAAGTAAAAATAGTAATCACTCTGGGGTGATTTAATTTTTGTATTTAATCAGAAAAATGTGTACATCATAAAAACTGTTCACAATTTCAGTACGCTTCAATTTACAACTACTTAAAAAATATTCAAACAATCCGTCTTCGTTTCCTATGGAAGTAAATGAACGATTCAAAGAAGTATTAAGAAATAGTCAAACAAATCTTAGCATTGAAAGCAATTAGGGAGTAAATCTAAAATGATTCAGTCAGAATGCAAATGTTATACAAGAGCTTATGGTTGTACTTAAAGGAAATACAGAGCAAAATTAAGTCTTTTCCGAATGGTTTATTTAGGTTAGTACTCAGAACTGATGCAATAACTATTCGTTATCTATGAAAACAATCGCTAATTTAAAGTATACGAGGTAAAAAATTACCAATAAAACGAAATATGTTGATAAATGTGTTTGTAGCTGATTTGGACTAAGAAGGCCATATTCGTTTTTTGTAATACTTACTTTGTGATTGTTTTAAGCTTACGTAAAGCACATCTAAATCTGACTGAAGTCATAGATCCATGATGTTAATTTCTTCTGGAAATTTAATAAAAACTACATTAAAGTTACATTCGAACAATGCATGATATATTATATAATATCAACGAGTTTATAGTGAATATTGAATATTTCCATAATACCGCTTGTAATTAAGTAAAACTGTTTATCACTTGGTCTAATAAACTTCTGTGATCACTTTGTTGACACAATAAATACCTTTAAACTGTCATAAATAAATTTAGGCACTTCATCATCATCAGAGTCTCTAATTTAAGCATACTTTTTAACGAATATTCTGAAACCTTTATGCTTGAATTACTTTTAATTGATTAATTTAGATTTTAAGAGGCTATTCACTGTGTAAAAATTATGCAAAACTAGTTATTTTTCGTGCATGAAACCCAAAAAAAATAGATGGAAGAAATGTTTCATAAACAAACTTGATGCTTGCGTTAGTGAATATTTCCAGCATTTGGACAGATTACACATGGAGTGCAATAACAGTATTTATTATAATATTCAAAGCTTCCAAACTTGTTTTTTTTTTCTTTACATAAAATAGTCATTGAAAGTTCTTCTAGTTAAATTGTTGTACATTACAGTGGAACAATAACAGAAAATAAAAATTTATTTTCATAAATTGAATTGTCTGCAATATTTGGAAATTATTTTATGAACACACGCACGTTGCTCGAGGTATAACACAGATTTTAAATTATCCACCATATGATACATATATATATGAAAACAGAGCCTATTATGTAACAAAACATTGACTTATTTCCGCCTATCTTAATGTGGTAAAATCAAGCTGTGTTGTTTTACAACTATTCATGTCTGTGTGTTTAATGCATTCATAGTTTCTTCCAGCCATATTTAAAATAAACTTCTTAGAGTCAATTTTTTGTAGTTGCTTCAAGAACCTGAAATTTTAAGCATTTCCACCAAACATCAACTTGTTCACAGCATCACTTGGCCTCTTTTTTGAATTAGTCTTTAAATTTACACAAAATGGTTCTATTAAACTATGAAAAGGTAGAGACAGTGAAATAGATCTAGGTTTAATTAAGTCATTAACATTAGAATTCTAAGAGAAATGCATAGAACATATGTTCAAACTGTGTCTATAAAATACGCTTTGTTATCGCAATTACTATACAACCTATGTATACTTTGTATAATTTCTTCGTATAAAATTAATAGTGTCGATTTTACCATAAGTTGATCATTATCTACCTATCAAATACAAAATTTCATATATAATTAAAAGTATTAACACTTCTTGCTGATGATTCGAGCGAAATTCCATGGTTTGCAGTAGTTATTTACGAACATACATTATCGGTTATTATCTAATTGCAGAAATTGTTTTCCATTTTAGATGAAGGAAAAAATATGTAAATGTATTTTATTTGTTTCATATCCCTAAATCGGTAATATTTATATAACAAACCCCAATGTTCAGTGATAAACTTAAGGTGTTAGGAAAGTTACTAGAATTTTTCATTCATAATACTGTTCTGATCAAAATATACAATTGATGTCAAAAATGTATGAAGGGATTTAGAAATAAATTTAATTGACGATCACTCCCGAAGCATACTAATCGGTTGATGAAACCTTGAATTTTCGATTGGGCATAGCACAGTATGCTTTCGCACTTTAGTAATGCATTGAGAATTTTTATACCGAACTTGGCATTTACAACCTGAAACATTTTTAGCAGTATCATATATCAATACTTTATATATATATATATATATATATATATATATGTTTTTAATAGTTCACATTATTTTTCTACTCTAAAGAAATCTACATATCCATTGTTAGTAATATAGCACTTAAAGAAATCAAGCTCTAGACTTATGCGTTAACTATTAAATAGCGGTGTATTCTCTATTGCTTATTTCCTTACTGATATATTTTCATTTCTTTGTGTTTGTTCTGCTTTTACTCCTATAAGTTTCAGCATATTTTAACTTTCTAGTTTATGCTTTATTTATGCGTTGGACTGAAGGGTAAATGAATTTTTTTCTATGTAGAACAATCATTCGACTAAACAAGCGGAAACCACTTCTATGAACTAAAGTTTTATAATATAAGAAACAAGAGTGTTGTAAGATTGGCAAGTAGCTAAATTCTCTTAGTACCTCAATCTAGATGACAAGACAGATAAAATATGATTGAATGGCTAATAATATTTAAATTCTGATCAAAACAAATACTTAATAGGGATATGATTGTTTTGTAATAAACAAGGTAAATATCTACAGTGTTGTAGTTTTGAAATAATGACTGTTTGAATAATAAATAAAAAACATGTAGTTCTCTTTTTTTTGATTTAACAAATTTACTGAAGTAAAACAAAAAAGAGGAGTATTAACCATATGGCGTGTAGTTATTAAATGAATAATTTTGTCATCTTTAGGATAATCGTGTTCTTTTATGGAATTTGATAGAGAATAATGGAACTGTCTTCAGCTTTACTTAATTTAAAAAGCAATAAGGTAGATTTGAGCTTTTTTCATTCTGGTAAAGTTACATTCAACAATATGCGTTTTGTAGGAAACCACATTCATATCAAAGAGGTAAAATAGATAGAAAATTTATCTCACTTTATATATATTTACTCTGTTTAAGTATATGGGTTGCACTTGACATATTACTTGATTTATCACTTCACGTGATACTCTTTTTCAATAGGCCATTGACAGTTTCTGACAAGCATAGATAACATAATAATGATAAAATTAAGCGATGAAATTATATCTAGGTTGAGAATAGAAAAATAACTTCTTTCACAAATCTCAATTGTATACTTAATTAAAGTTATGGAGACCATTGTTTTTACGACCGTTAATTCATGAATCAATCATTGTTTGATCACCATTAGTCCCATATCAGGATGAAACGTCGTTTCAGTGCTTCCAGATTTTTACTATGGTGGTCTTACAATCATAGATTCATGAATTCAATGTGCAATTGTAACTTAGTCGGATCCGATTTTGCTCTAAGGGATTATTGAAATAAAGGAATCTTAACTAAGCTTTTAGCAACAACTGAACTTTCTTCCTGTTTCACAACTACATTAGAGAATTCTAACAATGGAAGCATTCAGAAACAATTTGTCATAAATTATATTCTATCATCCATTTCAATAACAAAATTACCATTTAAATTTTGGAGATAGAATAAAGAAGGGTTATATTTCAAAATGTCAATGAAAAACTATAGCGAACAAAAAATAATCGGGAGAGAATTGGTATTTTTCTCCGACTTTATTTCAATAAACCTTGTTTCATGACGATTGACAAATAAGTAACTGACTGACATTTCTTTCTGTTGTTATAACTAAATCTCTAATTTTAAAGACCATCATCAAATTGGACTGTTGACTTTTCAACTGCATTTGACATATGTTACTTTAGGAAGCCATCCCTCATACGAAAGTGTAAAGGAGAAAACAACAGAAAGAACATGTACTTGATAAGTTAATTATATTAACACCTATAATGTCATTTAAAATATATTCAAATCAACAAGTTTCATAGATTGATCGAATTTTTCTACTTTTTCTATTACGTAAACAACACGATTTCGCTCTTAAAATTTTAATCAATATTTATTTTGTTTAAATTAAAGGGAAAGATTTGGGAACAGAGGCATTCCATGTGAAAAAAAACTTACATGATTAAATTCAAACTTCAATTTAAAACAAATAATTTAAGTATAAGCGATAATAATTTATGTAATTTCCTACAGTATCTGCTAAACAGCACTGACCTGATTCCTATTAATTGATTACATCTTATTATATCATATCAATTAATTCAAATCCTAAGGATACTGAATAGATTATGGTATATAAACCAAACGTTTTGAGTATAACGGCTAATGTTACGAACAATTTACTGTTCAGCATCGTTTATAACACTTCAAGGATCATTTGTGTAGGAAGTCACCAATTTATATATAACTTCCTTGACTATGAGAGGGCTTTTGAATACGTCGTCAGGATTTCATAACGAAACCTTTTTCGAATCTATGTCCGTAACTGAGAAGTATAATCAAAGTCAAATAGCATTTTTACGAGGAAACTTCGGTATAAGATACTGCATGTGGGGGAGCTCACAGTTGCATTCCAAGTCAAGAGCAGTGTCAGTACAAGGTTACTTAGTCTTGCTGACACAGTTGTTTACACAAGATACTCGGGATCTGTTGGGCTTCGACTGTAACTGTAGATTATCATCTGGAGTACTTTAGATTAGTAGTTGTATTCAACATTTTTAAACAAGATTAAATTCCATTTTAATCGTTTCTGACACGCTCAGGTGTGATAAATCTATGCTGCTATGTACTTTCAGGAAAAAATGGATTGACTAACATGTTTTAACCATCTTTTAAAACATGAATATAAGAACAGATATTATTTCGATAAAATCTCATCTCGTTCTACAACTATAAGTAAAAACTAATAAACAGTAAATGGCCACTTTCAAATGAAAATACATCTGTGCAAATTATTGGATGTGAAGTTAGGATTGTTTGCGAAAAGAAATGAAACTGGAATGAATGAATCTGTATGTTAAATGAGACTGCCACATCAATGATCAGGATAATTGGTGAAATCAGATAGGATTAGGAGAATAAGTAATGCACTTACCGGATTCGATCGAACGTTTA